GCTTGTGCAGGTAAAAGAGACGGAGAAAGACATTCGGCGCACTGCTTTGGCGAGGTAACTCTGTCACATATTGTTGGGGCCTGTTCTGTCTCTCACCGACAAATCAAATCAAAGCGGTTTGTTTCTGGGGGCTGATGGGGGAACAGAGTGGAGCCGATCCGGCCGACCCGGCCTCGTTTGTAGTCGCGGTGCAATCACGGCTCTGTCCCGAACCGACCACATGCTCCTCAACCCGCCGGGTCTCCTCGTCTTCATCATGTACACCATGAGAGACGATAACATAAAATGTCCAGCGTGAACAAGACGACGCACAGACTGAGCTCAGTCAACTCAGACACACTCCAGGTGAGAATTGTACCTCAACACCTGGAAACAGAAATATTTCACTTAATGTCTGAGATCATTACAGCTACACTGATTTTTAAAAATAAGATCATTCCATGTAAATTTAACCAAATCTGCAAAAGGAACCCACCTGACCTCCTTAGAATCATAACTAAATGACTTTAGTATATTTAATGAAGCCATGCAGGGTTTTACCTTCATACTAAACTTCACAACTTATTAAACACAGCAGACAGACATGAAATTTTCAAGGCTAAAAATCACATTTAAGCCAAAAACTGCAACTAAATCCTCCTCTCCAGGGGTCCCTTTCTAAACACAAATTGTTGTTTTGTTCAGAACCATTTGTTTTCACCAACTTTGAACAATAAATCTGCAGCAGTTTAATGTCTATATCATAGAGTCACTGAAACAATCATCAGCATCCTGGATGTGTTTCTGGTTTCTGATCATTCACCAGAAAAAACTTTGAGAAGTGCATCCTGGGTAAATTTTCAAGGCTCATGTGTGATGGAGGTTGGTCAGAACAAGTTCTAGACAATGGAAGGATCATTTTTTTACCTACACAAGATACCAGGAGCATAGACACAATTCCTGCTGTGTCTGAATCATTTTCTAATATAGAAAATGTAAAATTTGAGATTGTGTTTACTTTTTTAAAAACCACGATCACACATTTTCTCTCTTAATGTCATTGTTACTGTTAAAACTATGATAAATCCCATGACATTGATGCAGAGTTGGGTATAGAAACGATCATCCCGAGCAACTTAGTCCTTAGATTGTGACATCTGGAGTGGATGTAAAATTTGTTTGCAATTTTTACCAGAACTCAAATTTGTTTTACATCCCTGAAAGTTTCATGTGTCTAAATACTGGAGTATCGTGAATTAAAGGCACAAACTTTCAACCCACCTCTGTGTAACTCAGCCGCCTGTAACTCTGAACATAATCATAGTATGAAAGTAAAACTTGACAAGGCTTCATTAAATATACTGAAGTTATTGTACATAAAAAAAATCATCTGATTCTGAGGAGGTCGGGTCAGAGGTACTGATGGACTTTTCATAGAATAACAGCTGTGTTACATTAAAAATTAAACTTGGAGATTCTGCAGCTCCACTAAACATTTTCCTTCAACTCACTAAGGCCAGAAAATGTCCTGTTTTGCACCTCAGCTCTACTGAAACTTGTGAAACAGACACCTAGCAACACCAAACAACAGGTAAATCAGACATTAGCCTGTAAACATAGTAGAGTTTTTAAAATAAAATAAAAAAAGAGCCAATGTTTTCCTCAGGAGTTTGTGGAAAAGAAAACCGAGCTATGATTCCATGACAAACACAAATCCAAATGAAGGCCAAATGGGAAACTTACTTGCTCACATCAAAACAACTTCATAAGGTGCAAAAGATGAGGAAGTAAGTAAAAGACAGCTCTACTACACACCTCAGCTCTGGAACAGACACCTATTTTCAGCAAACAAAAGCTGACAAACCTACTGTACATTACCTACGCAGCAAAGATAAAGCAAAGCATTTTGAAACTAAAGAGTCAGATAGTTTTCATCTGAGCTTGTGGAGAACAAAACAGCTGTTGTCTGAAACACTAAACCAAACAGGACACTTACTTGCTCACACCAAAACAACGTCATGAGGTGCCACAGAAGAGGGGAAAAAATAATCACCATTCTCTTTAAAGTTTTAAACATTTCATTGCAGCTACAGTAAGAGCAAGAATATGAAAGTAATATTTGATGTTTTACAAGTGCATGTAAAGATTTAACTCTAGACAAGCAAAGATGCAAAAAAAAAAACAGGGTTATAAAAATGAAAGAATTTAAAATGTGCCCGACAAAATAAAATCGAATTCCCTCGCCACCCTACAACACAGAGGTGAGATTACATTACTGTAATGGGGCCTGTCTGCCTTATTGGATTAGAACAAAAAGGGATCAAAACTTTCTCCCGAATTTCTCCGTAAAGTCCAATTTGTCCTTATCTAATGGCCACACAAGGAAATCTCTCCCCCTGAAATGACATGTTCCGCTCCATCACTAGCCAGCCGCTTCTTTCATCTCAAGGTAGGACACCTTGAAAGACAACAACATCTGACTGCAGATGTTCCCAGGAGCAGCACAGTGCCGGGGAATAGGAAGTCCAGATTTAGTCCCACTCTCTGCTCTACTTCACTCCACTCTCTGCTGCCTCCCCGGGGCTTTAATGTGGCGAGTGGACAGTGGGGTTAATGCCTAGCTGTAAGCACTGCTTAGCACCAGTGATTGGGTTTGTGTGGTAGCAGGCCTTCCCCCCACCAGCAAAAAAAATCCAGTGGAAATGACTTCTACTGTCCAGCCCTGTGGGCACTTTATTTCCCAACCTGCGGTTTCGACTCCCCTCCTCTTTGTTGCGGCTCAGCGTCCCGGAGGGCACGGCTGAATTTGATGTGGAGCAATGATTAAAAGTTTTCTCCCTCAAGGTGACCTAGATACCGGAGAAGGTGAAAGTCAAAGCGGTAGAGATGAGAGGTGAAAGTCTGCTCTGGACATTTGTTAGAGCGCGTTTAAGTGCCAAATCCTAAACTTGGGGAATCATCCAGTCCCCGTCCTTCCACTGCTAATGTCCAATTCCTGTCTCTTTACATTGTAGTAATCAGTGATTGCATGTGACATGATGGGTATAAAGCAGCGCGCTGCACAGAGGAGGCATCAACAATCTAATCATCGTCACATCAGCGATTACCTCCAGGCGTGATGTATTTGAACAGCGTTCTATCACATCTGCTATTACCTGCCTCTTCCTGCCTTATGTCCCTCAGTACACATCTTTTCTCTTAACTGTGTGTTCAATCACCAGCACCAGCTTCGCCCGCCGGTGCAGCCGAGCGACCGCCTCGACAGTGACGTATGTCGGCGATTAGCCTGGATACAGTTCAATTATGATAAAAAGCCGGCGCACCTCTTAGGCCGTGATTAAAGCCTCAGCCTGGCCTTGATAAAGAGATCCCATCTCAATGCCATCACAGCCACATTATAAGACACTCTGCCGCGGTGTTCTGCCTCATGCTTTTCACATCAGTGTTGCAGAACGTACACTGTGGCCCGGGTGGAGCTCATGGCACGTGGAGCCAGATGGGGGCTACCGGGGGTCTTCATCATCCGCACATGGTTGATGATGCCTCCCTGCCCACCTATTTCCAATTTACACTAGTATTTATTAATAACCTCCACGTCGGTGACGCCGATCTTACAAGATACCTGCCATATAACTTAAGATGGCTTTAGATATCGAGAGGCAGAGAGAGAGGCCCCCGGTTTTGATAAATGGATGAGCAGTGATGAAAAGAAGATATCAGAGGAGCATGAAAGGAGAGAGGGGAAGAGAGTAAAGCATTAATCCAACGGCAGGCTGCTGGAGAGACGGAGTGAGAATGAAAGACAGAGAAGGAGGCGAGCGAGAGGGGAGAGGGGAGGAGGAGGCAAAAGAAAGATAGCCTTTCGGCTGTGTTCTGTCAAGGGAGAAATTACACATTTACGGAGGTTTTTTCAAGCAACGACGGGTTCCATAGATCAAACCACTGGATTTATGAGCCAATTTTCAACATGAAATATAGACACAGGGAATCCATTTTAGCCATGTTTACTTGCCTCCTCTCACTCTTTTTCCCTCTCTCTCAATCAAACGGCTTGCAGTGTGTGAATGGGTTTACTCCCGTAACCCTAGCAGCGCTTATTAGAGCTGTAAATGAAGATCTGACTGATTGCAGTGATTTGATAACGCAGCCTTCAGTGGCTCCATCACACAGTTTTCACCTCTGACAGTTGAGTAAGGCTTCTGAAATCAGACAGATATAAGGTTTTTATACTTTTTTCTTAAGTTTGAGTACATTTCTTCAGCAGAATCAGCAAAAACAAACCTGATTTTAGGGTTTAGATTATGAGTTTGTTGTAAAATCTGTGTAGATTTTCAGCCAAACAGGTCACAGTAATCACAAAAGCTTCATTGGACTTCTGTTTTGGCTTCTTGAAGATGTTTTAGCTCACATCCAAGAGGCTTCCTCAGATTTTACTGAGACTCCACATTTGTGAAAACAAAAAAAAAGCTTCTTGGATGAAGCTGAAATGAGAGAAAACAGAAGTTGCTTTTTACTAAAGCTCTTAGGCTTGTAATGCGAAAGCTATTTATGTAACTGTTAAATTACTTTCTGTAAAAGCAGATGTGCTGAAGGGGGGAAAAAAGACAGATACCTGAAATACCTGAATTTTAGAACACAGCCACATAGATTAGTGTATATATCCACACGCACTGCTCCCAAATCACAGAGCTCCCGTCTTCTGGGCAAACACATTCAAAATTTGCATAGAAATTAATGTCTAAGTAGGCTAAACGACATAATTGACACGCAATTAGCAATATTATGAGGAAACCCTAATGAAGTTTTAGTTGCCGCGCCAACCTAAGAACGATCACTGCTTAATTATCATATTAATGAAGTCATTAGTTGTCACTTAACTTGGATGACAGGTAAGGCGAGAATGTCGTGATCCTACAATTTCCCCGACAAATGTGTGTTCAACAGCGATTACCCTCAAATCAAGATCTCGACTGAGGAAAGAGCAACAGACAAAGCGCGGCGTAAACATGCACGACCCGGAGTAAGAAAAAAAAAACAACAACTGAGATTTATTGAATCACCAACTAAAGCATCTTCAAGGTCACCTGAGGACAAACAACACAAATCAGCCCCACTCGTCCCACACAAAGAAGGGCAGCAGATGGAAGAGGCATCCGCGAGAGAACGAAATGCACTCCTGGCCGAGAGGGGAGCCGCCACTACAGGCTAACACAAAAACACATTTCCAGTAAACACTATGGCATGATTAGGCTACAAAAAACCCCTCAGATGGGTCAAATGAGCATCGAGGTCCTCCCACTCCCACAGTCTGTTCTTTCATTCCGATTCATTTCAATTACCCAGTCATTCCCACCTTCTTCCCCGTGTCCCGATTAGCTCAGCCTGGCAATTTACAGTTGATCTTGCCTCATCTAAGGCCGAGCAGTGGCGGAGGCAGGGAGACGAGCAGTAATGGAATGAAATGTCACTCAGTCGTCGCCTTTTGTCACGGCGATGCCGGGCAGGCGAGGTGGGGAGGGTCTGCGGAGGTCTCGTTAGCAGGTGAAAAGTTGTGTGTTGTGTCTGTGTAGTCGGCGGTGCTTCTACGTAAACAGAAAATATGATGTTCGGCTCAGTTGCGTCTCCGTTGCCCGGCTGTAACACTCACTGGCATCTCCACTGTGATCACAATAAGCACCACGTCCCCCCCCCTCCCCCCGTCTTCCAGTGTAGCTGCCACGCTCATCAAGGCTTCTTCACCTTTTTCACTGAAGACGAGCTGGATGCCGACTCCCTCCGTTTGCGCTGCAATGTAACACACAAGACAGTCACGTTGGGGTCTGCTGGGGTTCGTGTCCTCCTGCTGCATGTCAGTGGCCTTTTCTAGAGTATGCTCACTACACTGTGCTGGAATTTGGCAACAAATAGGGAATGTTTAAAGGACTAAGACGTTAGAATCTAGCATGCAGAAACAGCAAGGTCATTCCACAAAAAGTTCCCCGTCATTTTTATCTACAGTAACTTCAGGATGTTTAATGAAGCCATGCAAAGCTTTAGCTTCATAACATGAATACTTTCAGTTACAGGCTCTTTAAAAACATGGAGGTGGGTTGAAATGCAATTAAAAAAAATTTTGCATTACTTTTTTTTGAGCGTTTTTGAGCCCTCGTGAGTTCAGACCTGACTTTCTTACGGATGAAAAACATTTTTTAATTCTGTTAAAAACTGCAACTAAATCAATTTTACATCCATCCAGGTGTCTAAAGACCAAATCTAATTTATGTTCATCATCATTTTTCTACAACCAAGCATCAATATTATGGGATGTATCACAGTGTTAACAGCGAAACAGCACCAGTTTAACATCTGTGACATGTAAGAAACAAGCACTGGTCCCCTGGATGCGTTTTCTGATTGTGTCAAATATGAATATATTAGAAACTTGTTTCGCCACAGAGTAAATCGTGTCTAGAAGATGATCCGAATGTGGATAAAAATAATCCTCTCATTGCCTAGAACGTGTTCTGACCAACCACCATCACACATGCTGATATGAGCTTTGAAAGTTTACCCAGAATGCACTTTTTAAAGTTTTCTCTGGGGAATGATCAGAAAACAGAAACACATCCAGAGTACCAGTGATTGTTTCTATGACTTGATGTTAAACTGCTGCTACTGAAGTTTTAATGTGTTTTGCAACCCTGAAAAGTTCACGTGTCTATCTGCTGAACTTACAAAGTTATGACGGCTAAAAAATGCTTGAAAAAGAAAAAAAAAGCAAATTCAAAAGTGTGATATTTTGACCCACCTACTATGTACTTCAAGGGCCTCTTACTCTGAAGGTAAGATTTTGCATGGTGTCTTTAAATACAGTAAAGTTAATGTACATAAATAATGTGAGGGGTTCAGGTGGGAGACACGGATTAATCTGACCCACCACCAAATCACAAAGACTCTCATGTTTATTGACACGGGCTGGATTCCTGGATTGCTTCTCCTCCAGTGAAGGTACGATACGTAAGTATTGTGTTTTGAAAGTTCAGTTGATGCCAAATGGTGAAAACTTTTTATCAGCTGTAATTTGAAGTTGCTCATTTGAAATCACCAGAAATTTGATTTCATGTTGGTGCATCATCAGTGTTCAAAGTTTCAAATGTTTTGCAAATAATCAAGCTAAAAAAAAAATACAAACTATAGTCGTTGACATATTGCGATGCAGTGTTTTATTTGCCAATACCTTTCACCTGTAGGTTTGTAGTCGTCATTTGAGGTCATATTTGCTCCTTTTCAGATAGAAATGTTGTCATTTTTTGCATTTCTTAAACAGTTTAACAATGTTTTTCTTTTAAGTCAGTGTCTGAGCTGCGCAGACTTACTGAGTTTGGGGTCAGTGGTGCTCCAACAACATCGATGATCTGCTCCTTGGCTTCCACCTTGATGTCGTCTGCGCTGGGCCAGGACTGAGCTTCGCCCCCTGGGGTGGAGGCCGTGGTGCTGTTTGTGGCGTTGAGTTCTCCACCCTGCGGTGCAGCAGTCGGTCCGGCCCCTGCGGCTCCGCCACACGCTCCCCCGCTGCCGGCCTTCAGTAGAGCCTCGTAGCGGTGACGCAGCATCTGTTGTTCGTACTCACAATTGCTGTGGGCCTGCTTCAACTCATACAGCAGCACCAAGTCACTGCGGAGCTCGTTGAACATCTGTACGATCTCCTCGGTGGGCATCGGGTTGAGATCTAGAGCCACAGAAAGACACAAAGGAAAACAGAGGAGTGGGATTTAGGTACTTTAAATGAGGATATGATGGTAAATAGAGGATAATGTTGCAAAAGGGGGCATGTATTTGTCTGCAACCGATTCAGCATGAGACAGATGTTGTGTACATATAGAAGCTTGAAAAGCCTTTTGACAGCAAGTGTTGTTGGTGCGGCAAATGTTAAGCCCAAGCTTAAACAGTTTCTTTTATAATCACATTACAAACAGGAACTCCAAGATGCTGCAAAAATGTGACAAAACCTTTTCGTGTTTGTCCCTTGAAGTGTTTGTTAGTATAATTCTAATTTAAAAGATTCTATCACTTGTATTCTCTCTGCTGTGCTGAAACCAAACTCTGCAGAAGAGAGCTAAAAATGCAAAACTGTGAAATGTTAGCAAATTGCTCATTTTTATTCCGACTCACCCACTCCTTGCTCTATCAGGATCTGCTCAATGGCCTTGATCTTCTTCTGGCCTACCGAGCTTGGCAGTTTCATCTGAATGACACACAAACACACACACACACACACAGAGACACACACACACAAGGGTGTGATTTAAGGTAGCGAGAATATTGGGATAAACAGCTCCACCTCTGGGCTTTTAATTCATATGAAATGCACTTCAGCGGGCCAGATCAAAATGTCTTTATCCACTGAACTCTATCTGACTGATTAGCTAGAGGGGCACTCCACTTCTTTAGCTGTGCTAATGCATTTTCCATAGAGAGCGGCAGCTCCTCATCAGTCTTGAAGATGAATAAGAGTTCCCTTGCTGGGTTTTACAGATATTAGCTAGCCAGTAACAGAATTAATCATCACAGTGATAATAAGAGATCGCTACCTCAAGTCATAAACTCTGCTCTCTCGCATACATCAGCTGCTGGGTCAAGCTGTGCTGAGATTCTTTTGATATTAATCGGGGGCTGAACAAAACTTAGCTGATCTTCTCAAAGATAAGTCAAGCTTTTTTTTGTTTTTAACATCAGTTCTACGGCACCAAGAGATAGCTGACAGAAACCGATTAGATTAGTCCGACTGCTCTAAAGCTGCTGTTTTACAGTCTCTAATAGCATTTAAGAGCCAAACTGAGATATGATGGTAAAGTAGTTTGTAGTCTGAATACCTCAGCAGTATGATGACAGCTCTTAGATTATCATGTATTCATATAGTAACCATCTGTTAAGCTTATATTCATAATCTTTGATGTTTATTCAATCAGAGAAACAAAACGCTAATGTGCTGTCCAGGTTTAGCTGACCAGTGTTTCAGTAAAGACAGACTTGAGGCCTCCTCAGGTGGAGTTTTGAACCTGCAGAGGCTCTTTGGTCAAACAGTGAAATATAGACGAGGCTCCGGGTGTTTCTCAGGAGATGCCGTCTCATCTCTGGGGAGTTATGTTGTCTCAGGAATGTAGGACTTAGTTTCTGTATGTTTAAACCTCCAGAATGCTTCTTGACCACAATATTTTATAGATAAGCTGTCATTGTTGTTCTTCTCTGGGAGACAGAGAGAGATGCTGGACTAATTTCCTCTCTCCCCCATTGCAATGGAACTAATTCCCCGATGACTCTGCAAAGCGTTGTAAGAGAGTCATGGCAGTATTTAAGTGACAAGTCGTACTCACCCTCTGACTGCGCAGTGTGACTCCTGCTGATTTGAAGTCGGGGAACTTGATGCCAGCTGTTTCTGGAACAGCCTAAAGAAGAAGATAACAACTGGTAAGAGCTGAAATATGACTCCTCTCTCAACTTCAGTTTGACCTGACATATAAAAACAATGAAATAATTCATATGGGATGAATCTGGCTTCTATTTGGCTCAAAATAACACAAAACAATTAATACAAACTACTGAGACAGAGCTGAATATGAATTATTTCAGTGTACTATTGAACTCAGTGAGTATTATCATGAGGACGACAGCTGTACATGTCTATAATACAACTATTTAATGGTTTCTTTCTCCCCAAGTGTTTACTCATTTTGTGTGAGTGGCCATCGTACCGGTTTTTCTGTTTCTCTTTTCTGCGGGAGCTTCTTCTTGGAAACCCTCTTCTCGGCTCGCCTCAGCTCTGTCGTCGTGTCCGCTGCTTTGATGAGCTTCTGCAGATCCTGAGCTTTCTTCTCGCGCTCCTTCTTCCTTGTCTCAATCTTCCTGAGCTCCTGAATAAGATACTCCTCTTCTGCCACCTGCAGGAAAAACAAGAGAAGTGCAGTCTTGATATGCAAAAGGCTGGTCTGATTGTTTTTTTGTTCTGCATGTTGCTTCTCATCTTGGCTGGACAGTATTTCCCTTACAAAAGCTCATCAGCAACATGTAAACATAAATCAAATTTAAAAAGTTGCTAACTTGTTCTGGGGTGCGATTGAAGAGCTTCTCCAGCTGCTCTTTACGCCGTCTTTCGTGTCCCGCATCAAAGATGTAGATCTTGGGCTCTGTTCCTGATGCTGCGCGGACCTTAGTCAGTTTGCCACAAATATTATAATATCGTTCTTTCAGATCTTCCACAGAGCGTTTCTGAAAAGCACAGATGGAAGAATGTTACCACAAATACAGATTATGATTTGTTTTCACTATAAACTCTCTGAACAAGAGCATCAGTGCTGCAGGTGAGGGACGGAGGACTTACTCTGTACTGCTGGTGGTCGTAGCGGTCGTGGACAACGATGAAGCGCAGGTCAAAGCGCTTGCACAGGTCAAACAGGTGGTCTGTCTCCGCTTTAGTCCAGCCGTCGTCATGGAGATGCATTTGATACTCCTGCTCTGAGTACACCGGTACCTGCACTGTCTACACAGGCAGACAGGAAAACAGAAAGAACACAGTGAATAAAGACTACGAAGCAAAGAAAAGTAAGGATGTCTTGAAAGGAGGACACGACAGAGGACGGGTAGCTGTAACAGTCCATCCTTTGTGTTTGTGTTGTATCAGCGATCAGACGTTCTGTTTTCATCTCTACCTTGTTAAAGCGAGCAAAAGGATAGTCCTTGCCCTCCTCTGCCACTCGTCTCCAGTGGTGGAAAATGGCTCCGTCCCTGCGAGCTGGATTCGTGAAGGGCATCCACTTCCAGGGACGAACCTTTTTACAGCCGAGCTTGGCTTTGACTGTCCTGTAGCCTTGAGTCGTGTCACTGGGCAGCAGGGGAGGAGCGTCTCTGTGGGTTTACAGGAAAAACAAGTCTTTGTTAAAGTAAGAGTACAACATACAAGGATAATCTGCTTTATCTGCTACACTATTTAGCAAACACATGTGATATGAAGAGATGAACAAGTTTGTAGTGTTAAAACAATAAATCACTTTTAACGTTTCGTTAAATGTACTCCTCCGTGGGCTGTTTTTGGTCTTTGCCTTTGCCTATGTTTTTACTTTTTTGTGACAAATTCCTCCACTTCTAACTTTCATTCCAATTTAATCCTTCAGTTGAACGATTTGAGGAAAACATCTAGTTACGATTTCTCTGACAGATATTGTTATTTGATTTGTGAAATAACTTCGTAAACTATTTAGAAGTTAATCTTCAGTTCAATATCCCCTGTGTAATAGATTTAAAACATGCAATGAATCATTACCACATGAAATACCATCAAAAGGGTAACTGTGTCACATTTATAAACCCACTGACATGACAGTTTATACTCTCAGTCTGATCCACTGCGTGGCAGCTGTCTTTGTGATTTGCTAATTGCCTTGTTTCTGACTTGACATTGATTAATTATTCAGCCCTATTCCTTTGTTATGCAAGCTAAAAGCTCTAACACTGAGTAAAGCTGTGAACAAACACATAGAATGTCATATAAGATGGACTCGTAGGTTTATAAAAGGCACCCATACTTCTTATCTGAATAGAGCAGAGCGTAGACCTCTCTGTGCATCCCCTCTGGTCTCTTGAAGGTCAGCGTCTCTGTCGCCTTCTTGGTTTTTTTCTGAGAAAGAAACGGAGAAATTTGTTATTGAATTTTAAGAAACGTTTTTGTAATAACGTCAAGCGCAGAATAACAACATATATCTTTTCAGTTTTTTATGAATTAAATTCAACGGGTAAGACCTGTGAAAATTACAAAAGCAACATGTGAATACCAGCGTCGTGCTCATCAGTGATCCTTCATGTAAATATTTACATCTTGTTAAGGCTGCATTGCCCTGTTTGAATGTCAAACATGGATCAAACAGTCATGACATGTAAATACATATAACTTTATTTTCATTGTAACAGCACCTTTCACAATTTTTGTAACTGAATAATTGGGACCACAGACGTGATTACAGTTTATAGCATAACCAGGCATGATATCTACAATTGTGGGCAATATCATAATATTGTTTCCAATGTTTAGGCTGTATGTGTTCGGTGTGTCTGATATCCTGATTTATATTTGGAGACTAGGCAGAATTTTCCCAATTGTCTGAATGAATGAAATCAGCCATTTGATTCATTAATACAAGTTCAGTACCAATGTAGGACCTGCAATTAAGTTTTATTCAGTGAAAAACTGCACTGTATGAGTTGAACTACACCTTTAAATCTTTTTAAATCTGTATATTTAACTGGATTTGTAATAATCCAGTACACAAACATTACGAGACTTGCGGATATTTGCTCCTGCAGACAGGAAATTACTTTTTTGGCACAACACAGATTTAAATAGCTCTAAAGGACAAGTAATATAAGGCAGTTTTTCACTTTTCAAAATGTGATTTCAGCCTCTAAACAGTGATCAGAACGTTATTAGTGCGTCAAACTGACTTGATGTCATTCATGATGGTTATATTCTACAGACTATGGGACGAATATCCATCTATAAATCATGTTAATTACAACCTAGTTTCCCAATATAAATAAGCATATTACACATACCAAACACACACTGCCTACACATCGGAAACAACATAAGTGTATTATCTATAATCATCCTAAATGTCATGCTTAATATGCTGTAAACACTTCTTTAGTCACACTATTTACATTAATGTTCCTCAGAGACGTAGCTTTTCTATCACCAGGGGGACACACTTCTGTTTTATCCAAATAAAAGCAGCTGTATATAAACTGGGTGTTACAAGACAAGAGCTGTTGGTAGATCTTTGTTTTTAGTACAAACATCGTTATTCTGATTCCCACCTTGTCTGAGTTGATGAGGTCTTTCTTGCTGATGGGACCGTCATTTTCTCCTCCGCCCAGCTCCAGAATATCCCTGACATCCGCACCAGTAGCCATGGCTCTACGTTGTCGTTAATTAATGCTTTTCTCAATCTGTCAAACCTATAAACTGTCCGTTAATTCACTCATTCATTCTATGCATGCCGTGAACTCACTGTCCATCGACTACGCTCCTAGCTAACGGCTAACGCTAACATTTCTAATTTGCGTTTTCTCAACAGAACCGAGGGCAGCAGAGTAATAACTCAGTACGGTTTATGTTTTAAAGAATACTACCGTGTACGTTTTTATAATCCCTGAACGCTACAGAGAGAGTTATAAAGAATATTCACAGGCTATTGTTTAAAGCTAACAGGGTAACTAGCTACAAACCGTCCCTACTACCGGCCCCGCTCGTGTCCGATTGAAAACAGTGACTCAAGGACTGATTGTCGCCCCCCAGCGGTGCGGCGGCTCATTGCAGAATGCATTATTTGATTTAGTTTAACACAAAATAAAACAAACCTTTTTCTTTTAAATTTTATCCTGAGGGAAACTCTTGTTCCATATATTACATAGAAAATATACAATAATATTAGAAATAATGCAGTGCTAATAGAATAGCAATACAGAGTCAGTATGAGGCATTAAAATTACACATAGGTCCACTAAAATAAAAGGAGGATAGAAAATGTTAAAAGTACTAGTGGCAATGATGCTGAAGCAATAAAGTAACATTGCAAATGATAATGAAATTTTGCAAATAATAATAAAATGTTATACTTGAAATTGAAATATCACAATACTGGAATCAATATTTAACATAAAGTGACCATTCTGCACTGAAGTCGGGGAGCTTTACAGTTTTTAACAATAAATGCACACAGTTTAACAACTTAAAGTGACTTTGCTAAAAAAAATGTGATCAAATAAATAAAGAAAATGTAAATCCTGCAGCTCATCTTTAATTGCTGTGGTCTTTGGTATTTAAAAAAAAGACAGCAGCACAACAGAAATGCAGGCTGTAGAATAAGCTTATCAAAAGAGTTAAAATGCTCCAACTTCTAGGCGCCTGCTTTGAGGAAAGAGTAACTATATTCAGAATTTTGTTGTTGCCGTGTCGAAGGTCTTTCGGGGTCCACTGGACCCCAAGAAAGAATAAGTGCAAAGTATTTGTTGGTATTCATTATAAACTTTTATAGTATGTTAAATACATTTTCTGATAAGTTGACGTATTTTTGGTTCCAAGTGCATGACTAAAGTCTCTCTTTTTGCATAAAATCTTCAGAAATAAAAAAACAATACCTGTCAGCTAAACCAAATGGCCTGGGGTCTAGAAGACCCCAAAAGTCCTGAAGAGGGTTAACACGTTGGGTACATGCAGAAAAGACAGTTGCAGACAGACAAAGGAACATTAATGATGATACATCCACACAAAAGTAAGCTATATCATTGTTTTCATAGGTTGCACCTGTACATTCTATTTGTCAGCTATGTTTATATATTTCGTATTTGCACATTAGTTAAAAAAAAGAAACTGATTGTGAGAATGCATTGACAAGATTTTGGCTCAAGGAATTAGTCAGTGTAATTCTAGAGCTGACCTCTGGGGGCAGCAGCACGCCTCTACTGTCTTCGGCCTGCCGCAAATCTCGCGAGAAGAACAAGAAGAAGCGGTTCTTCAGCGGACGGCCCTCCGCCATTTTCCTTACGTGGTGTCGCAGAGGCAGTCGGTGGAGTGCTTCAGCTAGCTAATTCGTGCACTACTTAAGTCCTTTTTGGGAGCTCGTTCGTAGCAAGGAATATAGTCTGTTACAGAACAATTTATTTTGGCAAAAAAATACTCAACTGCGTAAGAAAATGTCCAACGAGCAGCCCGAAATTACCGCCGAGACGGTCGGAGTGCAGCAGCAGCAGCAAGCGCCGCCGCCGCAACAGCAACAGCAGCAGCAGCAGCCGCCGCCGCAGCAGGGGTGAGTCCATTCATCAAGGCTCCTTTGTTGATGCTTCCCACCTAGTTAGCAGCTAATCAACGGTTACGTTGAGCGCTGGCAAATATTCACTAAATAAATATGCCCTATTCACATCGGAATGTGACTACTGGTTGAATATTAACACGCTTGAGGTGTTAAAATTTCGTCGTTACAAGCATTTATCTGTTTAGTTGGTGTGGATTTGGGGCCCGTCTATTTACTGGAGGTAGCCGCGCTTATGCGTAGCTTGTTGAAACTTAACGTTAGCGGTACAGAAAACTACAAGGTAACTTAAAGAAAATAGGCGATTTCCCCCTTTCAATTCGCTCGCAATTTGTTGAATAGAAAATAAATGCTATATGGGTAATTAATAATGTAGCACGGGCCCGCTGTGCGCAAAGAGCGGCCTAGCCATGCGGCTGGACATGCAGTCGTCTTGATTGCAAGCTGCCGCAGGCTGCCGTTAAATGCTAAAACTCAAAAGTGTGTATGAATAATACATTTTACTTGCATTTCGTAGCAAATTTTGTTACTTTTTAGGAAGAAAAAAAGGGTTTCTACCATAAGCAGATTAAAACCAGCAACCCCCTCAAAGCTGCCTGTTGGTTTGATTTAGCGCTGACCTTATACCGGCCTTTTGTAACGGTCACAGAATACACTTAAATGTTTGTGTTCTGATTTAATTTATTATAATATATGTTAGAAACTACAGATCTACTAATTCTACACTCATCCCCCCCTTTAGTAATGATCTTTTAAGTCTGGGGTCCACTTTTTACAATCTAATAATATTTAATTTTAGGTGTTTCATCACTTGGTTGGATGAAGTGTGTGTGTGAAGTATGTTTTTTGCTTAGAGTTACTCACTATTTTAACTTTTCTTTATGCAGAGAAATGAATGGAAAAGCCAAGAATGAGCCCAATGCGAGCAGGAAAGAGAGACCCCAGAAGAGAGGTGGAGGTGGTCGCTACGAACCCTATGGAAACGCAAACAAACGATACCGTGTCTTTGTCAGCAACATCCCATACGATGTGAAATGGCAAGCCCTGAAAGACCTGATGAAAGAAAAAGGTAAGGTGTTTGGATAAGGGTATGACTCATGTCAGCTTTGGACATGACAAAAAGACAAAAGCAGGATCAGCATCCAGGGTCATTTTGTTTGACCGCTGCAGCTTTGAAAGGCTTCTGGGAGTTGTACAATGTTGCTTGAGATCTCGTGAGAGTTATTTGGAACCAAGGTTGTGGACAAGGTCCCTCTTATTTGCTCACAACGGAGTTGCTGCAGACTTGTACAAGTGCGGTGAACCTGGATGTTAGATTGAACATTGAGTCTCTATTGAGAACGACTAAAACCTTTTGAGGTTTTGGTGAAGTGGAGGTTGCACATGCGTAACGCAAGTCCACAAATGTGAAAATCCAATGGCTCGGGATCATGAACGGCATTATGAGATGTTTCATTGACGAAAAATATTGCATAGTACCTTGTTGTATTGTAATTATTTTGTCTAGAAACAAGGAACAGGTTGCTTTCAGTTGCAACGCGTAATTCATAGTAAAATACGGACTCTTGATGTGTAAACTGGTCAAAACTTTGGAAACATGACAAACAAAATGCTCAATGTTGCAGCAACTTTCACTTCAATGAAAACAGTTGCTTAGTTATGGGGTATTGGAAAGCTTCAGATGTATCATGACTAATGCATTAAATGGCATTTACTTTAAATTACAGCATGTGTTAAAGGAATAATCCTGTTTCAGAAGGAGGGCCAGGTGTTCGTTTTATGCCAACTGACTGTGGAGTTAAATTGCATTTTCTTTTTTAGGTGTGACCTTGACAAGCAAATGTTTTCTCAGCAGATCTCCATGTTGTGCCAAACACAGCTATGTGCTGGGGATTTCTGTGGGGTACAGGTCTACAAAATGAAGCAGCTTCTTATGCACTGTCCTTGTCACTCGAGGTTTGGTCACTGATGTCCATTCGTTGAACAGACACGTGACCTGGAACAAAGGCGTGGCTGTGGTCGACGCTGAATCAAAATTCTGATTGTGCATTTCAGGTACAGGTCCACTTTATGAACAGGTTTGAAGTTAGAGAAGCGTCTCTTCCCCCAAGAGTTTATCGTCGCTAAGATTATGGTTAGTTTTCTAGCTGTAGGTTTCCTCTTAGGCGCAGCTGATGGGCGAATGTATTGATGCATTAGCCCGAGGTTTAAAATGGCGACATTTGACAAAGCATGCTCAGGTTTGCAATGAAACGGGCTGAGGCATTGAATGGGTTTTGCCAACTTGAAATTATTTGTTCAATTATCTTCAGGTAGAAGGTGGTGTTTCAGGGCATTATATCAAAATAGGAAGGCTGTTGGCCATTTCAACAGTTGTTGTCCTCAGTCTATTGCTTTTGGTGTTTCGGGAGAATTCCAACAAGGACAGGCTAAGAAGTCTTTTATTTCTTTTGTAAGAAAAGACTCGAGCTTGCTTTTTGTAGACCTGTACCGTATTGTGCTGCTGAGGTGCTGGGGGAAGGCTCAGGACTGGCAGTCTGAGCTCACTGTCACCGGCCGCCCTACTTGTGTTTCTGCTCTAAACCCCCATTGTTCTCTCGGCTTCTCTCCCCTTGGTGTGTGTCGTCTCTGGAATCTGATTTGTAGTGGGTGAGGTAACGTACGTGGAACACTTAATGGACGCAGAAGGCAAATCGAGGGTAAGTGCAAATACCTACAAATAAAACATATGAATAAGCCTAGACAAACCTGTGTTTGTCAGCTGTGGTTTCTTTATTTACATTGTCGCGAATTGTTCAGATTCAGAAATCTGGTGGAGTGTGCGAGATGGTGACATGCCGGAGGCGTGTTTTATTTGGTGTCGTCTGTGGCACTGACTTGAGGCCATCCTGAAGGGTTGATGCTCTTAAAACAGGACTTCAGCTTCCTTCGTAGCCAATCCTGTGGATTGCAGTAGCTGACTATGTCCCTTTCGGTTGCTGGATTTGCTCCTTATGATCTAATGGGTCGTAGTCCGCAAGAGGTTGTCACAAGGCTGTTAGATGGTTGTTAAACATAACTCATTTCGTAGAACCGCTTTACTGGAAATGTTACCTCCAATATCTTAGTAGTGGGGAATCCTATCTCACTGTGGATTTTCTGACCTTTGGATGTTGGAAAAAACTCTTTATATTCACTACAGTTGTCTGTATCGTGTTACTGACTGGGTTAAAACAGTAGATCTTGTAATATTGTAACGTTATTTGGAAGTACAGTGTTGTGGCCAAGGCTGTAGGCTTGTGTGTGATGTTGACCTTTTGTGCATGGACGTGTTTATTTTTGCAACATTTGCTACATGTCAATTTAAACATCTGTTATAACCATTATTTTTGCTAATTTGTATTATTCTTTACTCCTTTTGGTGCACCCTGCTCTGGTGTCTTCAATCAACAAAGGGTTGTGCGTAA